CTTTAGATTATATTTTACTTTAAATAAACAATTGAGTTATAATTTTACACAAGACTGAATTCATTGTACAACTTGATTTTTGAGACATAAAAAAGGTGTAAAATCACCAACACAATCAAAATGCAACATATTTTATCATTACAAACCATTTCTAAATTAAATTTTTCAATGTGCATCTCTTTCTATACCTGCCCCCAAGTAACCAGTGATCGGCTTTTGCACTAGACATTAATTATTTTCTAGACTCATACAGTGTTTCCTTATTTACTGAGTATAATCCTTTAACTGTCCTTGATGATTTTAATGTTTATCCTTATTGCGTATATAAATAGTTTATTTTGTTGCTGTTAGTGTTATATTTATGAAAAAATAATATTTTTGTTTCTCTATTGAACATTTGTGTTTTACTATTATAAATTATGAAAAAGTATGTACAATTTTTCTGCATACAGGTATATTTTATTTTTCTTTTATAAATGTCTGTAAATAGATGTGTGTGTGTGTGTGTGTGTGTGTGTGTGTGGTGCATGTTTATATTTTTTAAAAATGTCAATACATGTACAAATCGGTTGTACCACTTTTATTAGTAAGAGTGTCAAAATAACAGTGAACACTGACAGTAACAGTGTCAACGAGTACCAATTTCTATGCATTCTTCTCAAAATTATTGCTATTATTTTCATTATAACTATTCTAATAGGTATGTACTACTATTTTAATATGGTTTTAATTTATATGTTTTGTAATTACTAACTATATCAAGCATCATTTAATGTACTTTTTAAAACAAGTGTGTGACTATTCCCATTATTTGATCATTTTTATTCTGTAGTTGGTCTTTTTATGTTCAAGGATTCTTAGTATTTGGGATAAAAGTTCTCTATAAAATATTCTGATGCTTATTTTTTCCGACACTTTTCATTTTTTTCAGTATATGTAAAGGTACATAAGTTCCTAGTTTTTATTATATAAGTTTATATTTTTCATTATTCTTGCTTCTGTGTTGTAATAAATCTTTGTAAACTCAAGGCTGGAAATTATTCTGTCTTCTTATACATTTTATAGTTTTAGATTTTATATGCATGCCACTTATCTATTTTGAGTTAAGTTTTTTATGTTTTGTTGTGTACCAGAGTAAGAACCAAACCATAGCTGACCCTCCTGTGGGTTTTCAGAGGCAGTTAAGCTCAAAGAAGGACATTGTCCATCTTTTTTCCATGATCTCAAACTGCATGCCTTAGGGAATTCAGTGAAGCTTTTTGCCAGTAGACCACAAGAGCTCTCTAATTTTTACATACTGTGAGATAAAAATATCAATGTTCATCCCCCTCCAAATCTGGCACTTAGTTTTTCAAGCACCATTTGTTAAAAACACTTTCACTTCCTTATTAAATCACTTGAGCATTCATGTTGCAGAAAAAAATATGATATAGTTATACTTTCAGATTCTACATTATTTCCCACTGATCTATCCTTTCAATAATAGCATATTTTTTTTTTATTAGTGTAAGCAACAAAGGTTTTCCTGTCAAACATTCTTCTAGGTGGTACAGCACTGGTCTGTGCATTGCTGTACAGAGGTAACTCGTGGTTGCTGTGATGCTGAACACTGGGACACTGATGTGCCAAACGTGGTAGTGGTTACCCATGGTGGACAGTGTTTGCTCGAGCTTCCTGACTAAAACAAGCCTGGAAGCCGGAGTGACATCCACTTCCGAAATGGCTTGCCTCCGGAAACTCTATGTACGAACAGTGCTCAGTCCTTTCATTCATAGGGTTGCTACGAGCCTAATAACAATAACAACAAGAAGCAACAAGGAGTTTCTATACATTTTTAGGCTACATTTCCCACACTCTTGGAACATTCTCAAATAAATATTCTTCAAGTTCATGTCTTAAATCTTCTAGTGTCTGCTCAATAGGATGATATAATTCATAACAATAATTGTCTTTCTAACAGTGTTTAATGATACTGTCCAATAATGTTTGCACTCTATCAGGTTACCTTTCTTTGGAATGAGAAAAAATATAGATCTCTTCCAGTCAGTTGGCCAGGTGATTGTCCTCCAGATTTCTTGGCACAACTTGGTGAGCACATCCAGAGCAACATCTGTTTATTGAGATATGTCAATTGGTATATCATCTATTCCTGGGACCTTGTTTTTTGCCAATTTTTTCAAAGAACTTTGACTTCTTCTATCAGCATAGGCTCTTGCTCAAACATTGTTTCATGAAATTCTCGTGTCAGCCAACTCCTTTTGGTTTAGTGACTCTGCATATTCCTTCTATCTTCTGTTAATGATTCCTGGATCATTTAATATTCTGCTCAAAGCATTCTTAAGTACTTTCACTAAAGGCTTGAATTTGTTCTTCAGTTGCTCCATCTTAAGAAATGCTGAGCAAGTTCAGCCCTTTTGATTTTCTGACTCCAGCTCTTTGCACATTTTATTACAGTATTTTACTTTGTCTTCCTGTGTTGCCTTTTCTGTTCAGCTCCTTTCTTTTCTTTCTTTTCTTTGCTTTCGCTTCTCAGCACTCTAGTGCAATATTGAGTCTCGTCTATCATCCATCTTCGTGTTTTCTTCCT